GTGCCAGCTCCGCGGTTTACAAGGGATGTCACACTGGAGTGATCCGCGATCTAGACTGGTCTCACACTCAGTCGGTGGGACTACCATCTAACCTGCCCGCTCTGTCCTTGGATTTCTCAGGACCTGATGCTCTCATGCTCGGACGACAAGACGGTGAAGGTGTGGAAGATGCCAGTTGGTGGTGATAGGCGGGCCACTGCAAACTTGCAGGACCGCAAGTAGTAGTAGTAGTAGTAGTAGTAGTAGTAGTAGTAGTAGTAGTAGTAGTAGTAGTAGTAGTAGCGGTCATCTCTCAGTGCTGAGGAGGTTCCTCGGTTAGGTTCCTCTGTTCTCTCGTTGGCCACTCCAATTGGGTGCTTACATGTGCTTTCTCGTCTGATGCCACCTCAGCCGTGAGTGGCGGGGAGGATCGAACTGTCAGAGTCTGGGATATTGAAACAAGAACCAACTTCGCCAGGTCAGTAGTCGTTTGCTCTCTTTTGCTCCAGCGTGGGAAAAAGTGCATATGGTTGTGACACTATGGAAATTCTTGGGGAATTATTGTTGGTTTCTGAACACTTTTACTCGGATTCGTATATAAACTCCCTTAATTAGCGAGGAAACTGCTGAGCTCAGCTGAAGGAAACGAACATACATTCTCTAGTGTTGGAATATATGTTTGCTTTCCTCAGCTAAGTTCAGAGGTTTCCTTACTCGTTTACACACGATTTGACGCAGAAGTATACCAAAACCCCATAACAACCTTCCGAAACTTCCTCAAAATTTTCAATTCACAAACTCAGTTGGCCGTATACATGTTTCTTTCACCCTGCAGTTATGATCTTCAGTAAATAACTGCAAAATGCCTAGAACCTTTTCGATGACCTTCAGTCTGCGAACCCTCGAAATACGAGAATTCCAACAATGACTGAATGTGCTTCGATGACCGTCTCGTTCTATCCCCTCATGCCCTCCTGGAGGAACCCTGTCGTCGTTGGGCAGTAACTTTTTCCAAGTCAACTCGATAAGCCTCGCTCTTTTTCCGAGACGATCATGTGACATCATCACACGGGCTTATGTCTTCTCAGTTTTTACGACAACACTCTCTCGGTCCGTTCCGTCACCTTTTCACCCATCACTCCACAGCTTGTCGGGGCTGCTGGTGATGATGGCTCCATTAACTTCTGGGACACTAGATTGCCAACAGGGAAACAGCTCGTACAAAGATACGCCCCAGCCCACGATCGCGGTAGTCCGTTGTTCGCATCCTCGGTACCACACCAATTCCGCCCTATCTAGGTTCGGTTCTCTCCATCGCCCTTCGTCCCGACAACGGTCATCTGTTGGCTTCTGGTGGTCGACAGGGGGACATACGGCTCTGGGATTTGCGAGAGGGACGTCGCATCGCATGCGTGGCCCAAGGGAAGGCTGAGGCGGCAACTCGTCTGCCACCTGTGAACAGTGTAAGTCCGTGGTGTTGGGCATTTTTTCGATTGATTGACAGGTCCGATGGTGTCAAGATGTGAATGGCCGCTACGAGTTGATCATCGGATCTGCTGATGGTCAGGTATGATAGAAGTCTGCTGAAACCCCGGGTTCGATCCCAGGGACGGCAATTTTTACCGCGCTGCAGGTCTATATATGGGATATTGAGGACTCCATTGTCCTGCCGGCTCGGGCCCACACTCCAGTGCTGGCTGAGGGTCGCTCGTCAGACGCTCCCTTCAGAGGCTTCTCGACATCCCCAGCGCCCATGACATTCACCATGGCAGAGACTGCGGGTATTACTCTAAATGATGTGTTCGACGGACTTGAGTTTGTCAGCTTCACCAAGGCGAACCTTGGACCTCGGTAGTGTCACCACGGAAACAGTGCCGAAGGCTATGGAGGCTGTTGGGGACCAATTATTGGTATCACCGAATTTTTTCCATGCATTCATTATAGGTGGAGACAGGTGATCCAGAGGACGATCGAATTGATCGAGAAGAGGGTTCAACTGATAGAAGACAAAGTGGTGAATCTAGAGCTCAATCTCAGAGTTCCACCGAGTCCCCTGAAATTAGAGAACATGTCGGAGGATGCCAACGCGGTGGCCCCTAATGGTGCATAATCATCTCTTTCTTGTTATTGTATGTTGTGTTCTGATTCATATGAGGGGGAGATAGCTTGATGCTATAATGGAGTTGAAAGGGAGTGTAAGAAAGCGATGATGGTTCTTCTCGATCCCCGTGTGAATGGCTCATCACCGCGTAGCGTTGGCCGCGGGGACCAGTGGGGGCCTTGGTCCCGAGATCTACAGACAACTTATAGCGAGTAGCCTCAACAAGATAATGAGCGGTGGAGACGAGAGACAGGCTGAGGAGAGCTAAAGATTGCGTTGGATATGCATATGTATATTGGTGTGTTAGGATATACCATCTCTAGGGGACGAAGTCGGCCCTTTACCCTCGTATGAGGAACGCCCTACTTATTCAATCAACATGTTTAATGTGTACACGCGTTTGATTATATGCCTGTACCGTGAAAGGCGTTTCGATCAGCCATTACCGACCCCATCTATTCTGTTCCAACCCCATCAATCATTGTGCTGCATTCGCCGATATCTTTCAAGGATCGTCATACCCTATGCAGCAGTCCACCTAGATGTCTTTGACGACGCATCCATCGGAATGGAGCAGGGTGGCTGAAAGTGGGGAATTATCCCTATTATTCCCGGGAATATTCCCAGGAAAGGGAAGAAGGGAATTATTTTCGGGAATAATACCTGCCCTTTCGGGAATTATAAAAACTTCGCATCGAACAACGATAAATTCGTAGTTTCTGAAGGAATCCTGATGCCACTGTGACCAGTAGACTCACGCAGACCACAAACATGTACCTAACTCGCCTGACTCGTGTATGAACAACGATGTCCATCGTCTGGGTGCGCGCTCTTGATAATGTTCATTTTAGAGCTCTCCGACGCAAGCTTCGTTCCAAACCTTTCCCGTAGAATATGGCATCCCCTGCTTACCGCTGATAGAACAGCAGAGTGCTCCTATGAACAGAACAGCGAGTACAACTACTGGTACTGCTACTATGCCATAGTAACTATGACCAACCTCTGGGGCTACTTCTCCTAATAGGAGCCTCCTATGAACAACACAGCGACTGAAAGTTTCAGTCTGAAACTACTGTCGTAATGGCCAAGACAAAAATGACTCTGCTCCTATGAAAACGAAGCGACTTCAACAACTGCTGCTATGAACAATACAACAACTGGGAATACTGCCCATGAACGACATATTGAACTGATGCTGAGATTAATTCACTGGCCCGAGCTTGTAGTGATTGCCTTGCAAACGCGGCGCTCGAAACGCCTCGTGAAGAGCCGGAAAAGTTAGAGAATGCAAGATAGTCCATGTATTCTTCTCGGCCATGCGGCCGAGAGAATTCATCGAAGTGCGTATGACCCTTTTCCGGATTCCTTGTTCATACTCATGTTTTCCTGGAGCAAACGCCAGTCTGGCTGTCGTTTGTGACAACAAGAATTCTTCAGCATGGTGGAATGAGATAGAGCTTGATTATGCTGATTCAGAGGAAGAGTATCGTGGTTTGTT